AAAAAACTTTTTCTTTTTTCGAAATTTTTCCTTCAATTTTTTTTAAAATTTTTATCTGAAATAAAATTACAATTTTTTTTTTGTTTCCTAAAAGAAAATTCCAGAATTTTGTTTTTTCAAATTCCAGAAAAGTAGTAGTAGTAGAATGGTTATTTATGATATAAGTGCTAAAAGTGACATTTTATTTCGTGAAAAGGTAAGTTTGGGACACGACGCCGAAGGCGGAGTGTTCCATCCCTTTGAACAAAATAAAATCACTTTTAGCACGAATATCATACACTATTTTTTCTACCAACGCACTAAAAGTGATTACTTTCAGCACTCAGTAGGTACTAAAAGTAATCACTTTTAACACCAGTGTTATAAAATGGCATCTAAGACACTGACAGCATCCGTTAAAAATGACACTTGTAGTAACGTTTGTAGAAAAAAGTGTTTTTTGTTGTTTTCGCCATTTAGGCCAAAACAAAATATCATGTGTTATATATCGTCAGACTCGCAATTTTTTTCTCAAACTACTGAACCAATAAGATACAAGGTGTTCCATTTGAAAAATCTTTGTTTTTTCAAATATCTGAGAAGATAAAGCCCCCATATTTTTTCTAAGTACGCCACTGGATTCTACGTACAAAAAGACGTATTTTTCTTTTTCGCACTTTTTCTATATCTCCGTCGGGTAAGAAGTTATAGAGGATTATAAAAAACAGCTGATTTTGAAAAAAAAAACCCTGTACCTCGCAAACCAATATTGTCGGCCAAGATCTGACTACACCATCAAATGACACACTAAAAAAGAGGACGGGAAGCGTATACCTATCAGTTTCTCAGTATCTTCGGCAATTTTGGCTGTACCCCATCAAACTATCGAAAATCAACCACCCTGTACAGAGTTATTGCTTATAAATATCACCACCCTCTATCTTTTTTATTTGACATTTTAGAAAAAAGTGTTCCAAATAAAAGTTTTATGATTGAAATTGAATTTTTTGAAACACTCACTTTTGCATATACAGGGTGTTTCAGAAAAGCTGGTCGGGCTCCAAATTTCTTATTTCAAATAGAATACCCTGTATTACCCTATACCTACTGTTTTGGAAATATTAACAGTTGAAAATTGACTTTTTTGTAACTTTGACAGGCTGTAAATCCTAAAAGGTTAATTTTATAGCAAAACCGATCTTACATTTTTGTATTAGATTTTTATAAACTATCAGTTGACACCAATATTTGACATCAACTTTGAATTTAATCCCTGATTGAAAATTCCAATTAAATTTAATATTCGGTTAAATTTAAAATTGGTGGCAAATGATAACTTAGAAAATCTTAGAAAAAAATGTAAGATCGATTTTGCTCAAAAGTTAACCGTTTAGGTTTTACAGCCTGTCAAATTTGCAAAAAAGTTAATTTTCAACTGTCAATATTTCCAGAACAGTTGAACTTAGGTATAGAGAATATCACATGAAATCTGCTCAGAATTTGACGTAGAATCCGAATATTGAATAATATACAGGGTATTCAATTTAAAATAAGAAAGTTGGAGCACGAACAGCTTTTTTGAAATACCCTGTATATGCAAAAGTGATTTTTTTCAAAAAATTTATTTTCAATCATAAATTTTTAATTTGAGACACTTTTCCAAAATGTCAAATAAAAAAGATAGAGGGGGGTGACATTTATAACCAATAACCCTGTATGTACCGGGTGTCCAAATAAGAAAGGTCGCCGGCTATATCTCAGGAACTATTAGTCCTAGAGCTTCCAAGTAAAAATTTTTTCCATAAAATAGGCCATGAAAAATTGCTGGAAATAGTTTTCAAGTTTGTAAGTTGACCGCTAAGGGTCGCAACAAACACTCGAAAACATAATACTGTGATGATCTTCAAAAAACGCCCACTTAAGGTATCCTAAAAATATGATTATTGAAATCTTGATGAGATTACGAAAAAATTTTGTTAAGAATTTTTTGCTCTAACTCTTCAATTAAGAGGTGGGGGAAGGTTCAAACTTGTCAGGAACAAAAGTTATGTAACTTTTTTGTCTTTCAACCGATTTAAATGAATGTGGTGTCATTTGGAAGAGTTTTTTTTCTGTTTAATGAAATGCATAATAAAAATTACAAAATTAAATTGTTTTGTTGCCGCTAGGGGGCGCTGTGTCTAAAAGTCGACAATTTTCCATTTTTTCTTGGAAATTCCAAATATAATGATGCTTTTTTTATAATTTAGATGGAAAGAGGATGAAAAAATAAGGAAACTGGTGAAAACGGCAAGTCTGAATCTTTATCCTACCCCAAAATATAAATAAACAATTATATTAATAAGAACATTTTCAGAAAAAAAACCATCTTTTCTTCCTTTTCGGGATGAAACAAAAAAAAATCCTATTTTTTTACGACGGTATAAAATTAGTAAGAAGAAGAACTAATTGTGTGTCTGAAAGTAGCTACCAATCCACGATATCAAGAATTGAAATTGAATTGAACTATAGTTATTTAAATTCCAAGTTGCGAAAGCGCACTTTTAGGTGCGAGGTGTATTCAATACCTCAGAACACCTAAATAGTTGTTTACATTCCGAGCTGCGAAAGCGTACTTTCAGATGCGAGGTATATTTGAATACCTCCGAGCACCTAACAGGACTTTTGCAGCGTGTAATGTATTAAGCTTTCCATCCTTTCCCCTCAAAAATCGCGAATAGGTATGCGAAAGTGAAACATGCTAGTAGCGAAAGTGAAAGTAACTACTAGCATGTTTCACTTTCGCTTTCGCTCGCTTATGCAAGATAAAAAAATTTACTTTTGTAGGGGGGAGAATGAAAAGGGCTTTCGTAGCGTGTAACGTATTAAACTTTTTATTGTTCCCCTCAGGAGTAGTATATTACATATCGAGGTGGAAAGTGTTTTATAACTATCGAAAGATTTCACAAAGGTTAAACCGAGGCGCAGCCGAGGTTTAATCTTAGACTATGGTTTAATTAAAATCTCGAGACAGTAATGAAACTTTTAACCAAGGTTGTATACTATTTTATTTACAATCATTCGAATTTTGTAATTTTTATTTCAATGAAAACTAAAAAAATACAATAAATTTCAACAATTTCACTTACTTTCAGCCCACGGGAGAAAAGTAAACTTTCAACCCATGGGTGAAAAGTAAAAGACATTTTCAAAAGTCAGAAAAGTTAACCTTACATGTATGATTGTAAATAATAGTATATTACATGCGGAGGTGGAAAGTGTTTTATTATTGTCGAGAGATACTATGGTTGACCGAGGTCATTCAATTCTCGAAACAATAATGTGAAAATGTTCCACCAAATTATGTATACTATTCTATTTTGAACCATTAATTATTGGAAAAAATAGGGTAAAAATATGACAAAAATTGAATTTTGAATGACAGTCTGATGTGTGATTGGCATCTTATGAAATTTCAACAATATAAACACATGTGACATCTACTTCTAAATACAAACATTGCACCTGGATTTGTGTGAAGGTGAGATAGAACAAATTATCAGGGCCGGAAGTGAGTTCTGCAGGCCGAAAGTGACAGGAGAACAGTCACTTCCGGCCTGCTTTAAAGTAAACAGAAGTAAAATGACATTTTCAAATCTCCAAACCAGTAAGGAATGCATTAATTACATATATTATTATGGTTCAAAATAAAATGTTTTTTATCTTGAATAGTTTAGCGAAAGTGAAAGTAATGACTAGCTTGTTTGACTTTCGGCTATTTGAATACACGCACCTAAAAGTAAGCTTTCGCAGCTTGAAATGTAAATATGTAACTATTTAGGTGTTCGGAGGTATTAAATACACCTCGCACCTAAAAGTAAGCTTTCGCAGCTTGGAATGTAAATAACTATAGTTCAATTCAATTTCAATTCTTGATATCGTGGATTGGTAGCTACTTTCAGACACACAATTGGTTCTTCTTCTTACTAATTTTATAGCGCCGTAAAAAAATAAGATTTTTTTTGTTTCATCCCGAAAAGGAAGGCAAGACGGTTTTTTTCTGAAAATGTTTTTATTGAAAATATTTGTTTATTTATGTTTTGGGCTAGGATAAAGATTCAGACTTGCGGTTGTCACCAGTTTCCTTATTTTTTCATCCTCTTTCCATCTAAATTATAAAAAAAGCATCATTATATTTGAAATTTCCAAGAAAAAATGGAAAATTGTCGACTTTTAGACACAGCGCCCCCTAGCGGCAACAAAACAATTTAATTTTGTCATTTTTATTATGCATTTCATTAAACAGAAAAAAATTCTTCCAAATGACACCAGAGTCATTTAAATCGGTTGTAAAACAAAAAAATTATGTAACTTTTGTCTCTGACAAGTTTGAACCTTCCCCCACCTCTTATTTGAAGAGTTAGAGCAAAAAATCCTTAACAAAATTTTTTCGTAATCTCATGAAGATTTCAATAATCATATTTTTAGGATACCTTAAGTGGGCGTTTTTAGAAGATAGTCACAGTATTATGTTTTCGAGTGGTCGTTGCGCCCCCTAGCGGTCAATTTACAAACTTGAAAACTATTTCCAGCAATTTTTCATGGCCTATTTTATAAAAAAAAAAATTACTTGGAAGCTCTAGGACTAATAGTTCCTGAGATATAGGCGGCGACCTTTCTTATTTGGACACCCGGTATATAAAATATGTCTAAAATTTTCCGCAGAATCCAGAAATATCATAATATACAGGTGTTTCTATTTAAAAAAAATAAAGTTTTTGACCGTACAGCTGTTGGAACACCCAGTATAAAAATATTGGTTTGAAAAAATCTGAAGCAAAAAACAAAATTGACGTGTTCGAGCGTTTTTTTCGTAAAGTTCCCCATTTATTTATTATTGAATTTATTCCATCTGGCTAATATACACTGTATTTTTTTTATAGTCAGATTAACAAGTATCATTTTCTTTAGAGGATGTTGTATTAAAATGAATTTTTCTCTTCAATTTAGTTTTTTTCATTAATTATTTACTTTTATTACAGGAATTTCCTAATGGTAGCATCTGCCAACAGTACCGAAGTCGGTGTTCTGAGCAACACTGGCGAAGCCTGGACTCAATGGATCATGCCTGGATCAGCCAGAGCCGAACTTCCATTAAGTTCGGAAAAAGAAGAAACTCTACCCATAGGAATGACTTTTGATATCAGTTCTACAACGCCTCTACCTTGGGAGGAATCAACCATACCACCTTGTCCCTTATTATGCGTTTTATCGCATCAAGGCGTATTACACTGTTTCAATGTTGTATATTTAAAACCAGGAATTCCTTCAGTATGCACACCACCTGATAATATTAAAGATACTTCAGGATTGAGTTGTTTTGTGGCAAAAAACTCTCAATCTCAAACTGGTGAAATCAAAATTGGAACATCTCAGCCGCAAATCGCATCCAATGACACTAAATTTGTAATGGCTCCTAATTTACGGCAAATTAGTCAATTACATGCAGCCAATACTCCAACAAAAAACGTCACTTTCAATTTTTCAGCATCGTCTCAAAGTACGCCTTTAGCACCCCTGAAAACCAATACCAATGTTGCCAGCAAATCATTGTTCGCCGGTCAAACTACACTCACTCCCATCAAACCTAAGAATCAGTCTTTATTCAGTGAACAATCATCAATTACCCCTGCGAATCAATCAACAATTTTTTCCGCATTAAATCCCACTAGTGGACCGCAAATCAACACTGCTCCAGTTAAACCAATCGTGATCAGTGCAGCACCTGTAAAACCAATACAGGCTGCTGGTCCAAGAAATAATTTACCAATTAAACAAGAAAACCAAGAAGAAACAGACGCTATGATGCAACAAATGATTAAAGACGAATGGATGTATTTAGAAGCTGAATTGAAAATCTTGCTTAAAATGGGGGGCTCTCTGAAACTAAACATCGGAAGTGATGATGAAAAAATTGCCATGGTTCAGCAACTAGAATCTCTAGATGAATTTGTTAAAGAAGCTGTTGAAATAAGTGTAGGCCAAAGCAATGAAATTCACTGTTTAAAGCAAAACTTACTTCAATCGTGGGCTTGGTACGAAGAAGCCATTTCGCATTATAACGCTTCGAAAAATGAAGCTGTCGCGTTACTTATCAAATGCCAACCGTTAGACACATTATCAGAAAAACGACTGAGAGAAATTAAGCAACTTGATTTTTATATAAAGTCCCAAATTTCTCAAGCCCACAAAACTTTAGACGAACAATGGGATAGTTTTCAAGATTATGCAAAGAAAACTCATAAAGTGAAAATGCCCACGATGGAAACCATATTTTTAACCATGGTTAAACAAAATGCTATACTTCAAAAGCAAATTTTGCTTTTAAAACAAATTTCATTCCGCTTAACGAAGACTAGTAGCAACGATATTGGAAATTTAACTGCGGGTTTTGAAGATTTAACTTTAAATCCGCAACAGATAAGGCAGCTGCAATATGATAAAGTTAAAAGTTATAGTAAGAATTTGTCTCAAGGAAAAAGTAAGCAGTTAAAGGATTTACTTAATAAAAGAGAAATAACTAAAGTCACTGCTGTTAAACCTCAAATATCTTCGTTTGCCATCAATCAATCTCCTTCTAGTAGAGTGCGACAATCTATTTCTATGCTAGGAGCCAACGTGTCTCCAGCTGCTAAAGCCTCTATTGCTAAAAGTTTAAGTTTTGCTCAATCGCCAACACCAAAAACTCCTGAAAATATTGAAAAATCTACTCCTAGTTTTAGTTCATTACTCAAAACTGGTCCTGTTATTAGCAGTTCTCAAGGAAGTGCTTTTACACCTATCGGCGCTTCTTCTACATCCAATAAAATTACTACACCTTCATTTTCATTTGCTGCAACAACTTCCAGTAAAAATCAAGCGCCTTCAAGTACATTTTCATCAATCTTTAAACCTTCTTCTCAAACGGCAACATTTTCATTTGGGTCTACTAGTACACCTAAACCTGCATCATCTACAAGTGCCTTATTTGGTAATCAAGCCAATAATGCCTCATTTTCTTTTTCTACCTTATCAACAACCACAAGCACAGGAAATGTAGAAGTTTCCAAAACAACAACGAAGCCTCCAAGTGGTGTCGCATCAATTTTTGCCAACATACAATCTGTTATAGATAATGCAACTACTACGACAACTACAACTCAAACAACTTCGCCAACAAAACCTTTATTTGGATCATTCAGTAGTTCAGATTCTGGACATTTATTTGGCAGCGTTTCCAAACCGACAGCATCAAATACCACAACATTCTCTTTTAAAGCTACACCTGCTGATAAACCACAATTAACTAATGTCGATCAAAATAAAACTTCACCTATAATAAAAAGCGAACCATCAAAGATAATCACCGTATCTTTGTTTGATTCCAAAAGTGCATCAGATCAAACCAATACCGAATCGGGCAGCCAATCATTATTTGGAAATAATACAGGGCCAATATTTGGTAATTTATCAGCAACTGGATCTTCGAGTTTATTTTCAAGTTCTCCAGCAGCTACAACAACTACTGCTTCAAATTCGCTACAGTCATCAGTAATTGGCAGTAGTGGCTCAATATTTGGTAATAAGGCTTCGTCAACTTCTACTAGTGGTCCAGCAACGCCTACATCAGTGTTTGGAAGCACAAAAACCACTTTAGAAACTTCTACTACTACAACGACCACCCCTACAGCAATCGTAGCTCCTGTCACTGCATCAACCTCAGTTTTTGGTACCTCAACATCAGTTTTGGGCACAACTACAACAACTTCAACTATTTTTGGTACCCCAACAACTAGTGCCTCGAGTACTTTTGAAGCTCCTGCAATTTTTGGTGCACCAACCACGAGTACATCAACGTCAGTTTTTGGTAAACCAACTACAAGTACAACGACGTCAGTTTTTGGTACACCAACTACAAGTACATCAGTTTTTGGTACACCAACAACAACTACATCGACGCCAGTTTTTGGTACACCAACTACGAGTACATCGACGTCAGTTTTTGGTACACCAACAACAACTACATCGACGTTAGTTTTTGGTACACCAACAACTACATCGACATCAGTTTTTGGTACACCCACTATAAGTACATCGACGTCAGTTTTTGGTGCATCTACTACGAGTACATCGACGTCAGTTTTTGGTACACCAACTACGACTACATCAAGTTCCGTTTTTGGGACGCCTGCAGCTTCTACGGCTCCGAGTGCCTTCGGAGCACCGACGTCTAGTATTTTTGGGGCAACAACAACCACTTTTGGAACCCCATCGACTTCTAGTAATATTTTTGGAGCCCCTCCTAGTGCTGGTTCCAATATTTTCAGTTCGTCTACTGCAGTTTTTGGTGCAACTCCTTCTGGAAACATTTTCGCATCGCCACCAATTAGCAGTGCCTCAGCTTTTGGGGCTCCCGCTACGAATATTTTCAGCCCTACAACCACAACGAGTATTTTTGGCGGTGCCAGCACTACCGCGTCGCCTTTTGGATCTCAAACGGGGCCAATGTTTGGTGTTACGGCAACTACAACTGCTGCTGGTGGCGTGTTTGGACAGCCGCCAGCTTTTGGGAGTCAATCGGTGTTTGGAGGAGCCCCGGCAGCCGCTGGCTCGTCAGTTTTTGGTCAGGCAGCAGCGGCGCCAGCTGTCCCGGCTGCTTCTGGAAATATTTTTGGAAGTACTTCTTCTACCAATGTCTTTGGCTCAGGTAAGATACCTTTTATTGAGCAGTAAATATACGATGAAATATATGAAGGATTTCAATCTTTTTGTCAATTTTTTACTGTATATCTCAATTTTTTTGCCCAATTTTTTGTTATTTTCCAAAATGATATCGACACACGAGTTACTTAACGGAAACAAGAACCTTTTTTAAAAAATTAATTTATTTTCGGAAATACAAGTTTATTACTTGATGTCTTTACAGCTTCAAGTTAAGACTCTAACTAACTGTAAAAGCACCATTACAATTGTAAAGAAAACATAATATTAAAAACTAAAAGCGAAGCAGAAACAAAAGTTGGCGGTCAGCAGTTTGGCATCTATCCTATGTACAGGGTGTGAGATAACTCCTCCCCCCAAAGCTTCAACTCCATGGTTAACGAGGTAGTTGAACATCTTGAAGTTCGATGCTTTCGTTCGTCATTGTGGTTTCATTTGTTCGGCCTAGAGCATGATATTTCCTGTAGCAGTAAAAACTTATAGGAAATAAAATAATAATGTACATGGAAATTGTCCATATACTGGGTGTTGTTGGAATTTGATCAAAAAATAGTTGAGCTTCATTTTCTTGTATTTGGCTTCTGATTTCGTAAAGTTCATCTAACTTTACTTGGTCTAGATGAGCGCTGAGGTTGAGGGTAGGCAGCAAACTAGCTTCATTCTCAAAGTCGGGGAACAGGATCGGTTGACTCCGGTTGGTATTGATCTCTGATTATGGATGATTGTTTCTTGGTTAACAACAATCTTACAGCTTCCTGGTATCTGGACTAAATAGGTTCCAAATGGGTTCCTTCTTTCATCTTGATTGTCACATTGCAGGCGGATGACTTCTTTTTTTGGCAGAATCAGGGCTCATAGATTGGTTTCGTCGAGTTGTCTAATTATTGGTTTAGAGATTTCAGTCTCGACTTGCATACAGGTATTGGCATTTTTCCTGGATTCTAACAGTTCGACTTCGCATGGGCTGTCGTTGGAGATTTCATTTAAATCAGTTTTGTCACATACATGGAATTGTGTTTTAATTTCTTGGCATTCTAGACTTCGATATGCAAAGTGCAACTGGTTTTTTATAAGAAATTTACTTTGAGGAATAATGACTTTAAACAGACCCTTTCTCCTTATTGGTATTGAAAAGAGATGAAAATAGTCGAATTCTATTGGATATGTTATTGGAATGTGCAACAAATGAGTTATTTTATTATTAAGAATAAAGCATTCCAAGTTTATGACTTTTTCCAAAAGAAAAGTATTTTCGAAGGTCACTTCTAGTGGCATTTGTTTGCAGTGACTTGGTTTTGCATTTTTAGCAACTAGGTCACGAGCGCGCTTCGCGCTCTTTTTTTTAAATCAAGTCCATCAAAATAATTATAAAATGGAAAATATTTATTAGGTGTTGTACAAAAAACAGCATAATTTTTGATTTAAATGTACATTATACATTAAATGTAACAGTGAGATAAGTTGTATAGATGTTATTTTAGTGAAGAAATTTCAAATGCGATGGATGGAGTTGGTGACGAATTATTTTTGTATGGTATATCATAATGATTTTAAATCGATCACATTTCTTGAATGTACGGTGTGCGTATGTCTACTTATCTCATTCTGTTTTATGGAACTCGTAGGTATACATTTTTCGAAGTGGTTTAATTAAAACAGAATAATCATAACCATAATCAAGGTGTTATTATAAACCGAGTTATTAACTATTTGTGTGCTGTGGTATAATACGAGATATCGAGTCTTAATTTTTTTTTTTACATTTTCATGAAGTTACATACATACCTAGATTCTTCTATTGGACCTCGAAAAAATATTAAACCACTTCCTTGCTTTGAATCTTTGAAAAACAACCATCTACAGAGCAATATCTAATAGCACAGCTAATAGACATATTGTCAGAGAATTGTCACATAAATAAAAAATTCACAGTCCTTCGCAAAAATGCAACCGAGGAGAACATTGAAAATGCCGAAGCAAACTTCAACGCTAATGCTTGTGATTATTGTGAGCTTTGAGATCCGCTAAAATTCAACCCTTTCCAGATTTTCCAGAATTTTTCCGACCCAATCCAGAAATTTCCATGCGTTTTCCAGACGTTTCCAGAAATTTCCAGACTTTATCCAGATTTTTCCAGACTTAGCTAGACTTTATTCAGACTTGTTTAAATTTCTCCAGACCGTATCAACCTTTTTCCAGACGTTTCCAGAAATTTCCAGACTTTCCCAGACTTTATCCAGACTTTTATAGACTTAGCTGGATTTTTCCAAACTTTATCCAGACTTGTCTAGATTTCTCCAGACCTAATAGAGCCTTTTCCAGACGTTTCTAGAAATTTGCTGGCTTTTCCAGACTATATCCAAACGTATCCAGACTTTTCCAGATTAAGCTAGACTTTATCCAGACTTGTCTAGATTTCTCCAGACCTTATCCAGCCCTTTCCTGACCTCTCCGACTTCTTCCAAACAATTTCCCGACTTCAAATACACTTTTCCTTACTTTATCCAGACTTGTCTGAATTTCTCCAGACCTTATCAAGCCTTTTCCAGACGTTACCAGAAATTTCCAGGCTTTTCCAGACTTTATCCAGACTTTTGTAGACTTGGCTGGATTTTTCCAGACTTTATTCAGACTTGTCTAGATTTCTCCAGACCTAATAGAGCCTTTTCCAGACGTTTCCAGAAATTTTTTTTCTCTTTTCCAGACTTTATCCAAACTTATCCAGACTTTTCCAGACTTAGCTAGACTTTATCCAGACTAATCCTGACTTTATCCAGACTTGTCTGAATTTCTCCAGACCTTATTAAGCCTTTTCCAGACGTTTCCAGAAATTTCCAGGCTTTTCCAGACTTTATCCAGACTTTTCTAGACTTGGCTAGATTTTTCCAGACTTTATCCAGACTTTTCTAGATTTCTCCAGACCTAATAGAGCCTTTTCCAGACGTTTCCAGAAATTTTCTCGCTCTTTTCCAGACTTTATCCAAACTTATCCAGACTTTTCCAGACTTAGCTAGACTTTATCCAGACTTATCCAGACTTTATCCAGACTTGTCTAGATTTCTCCAGACGTTATCTAGCCCTTTGACCTCTCCGGACTTCTTCCAAACACTTTCCCGACTTCAAATACACTTTTCCAGACCTTACGCAGACTTGTCTGAATTTCTCCAGACCTTATCCAGCCTTTTCCCGACGTTTCCAGAAATTTCCAGGCTTTTCCAGACTTTATCCTGACTTTTCCAGACTTTGGTAGATTTTTCCAGACTTTATCCAGACTTGTCTAGATTTCACCAGACCTAATAGAGCCTTTCCAGACGTTTCCAGAAATTTTCTGGCTTTTCCAGACTTTATCCAAACTTATCCAAACTTTTGCAGACTTAATCCAGCCTTATCCAGACTTTATCCAGACTTGTCTAAATTTCTCCAGACCTTATCCAGCCCTTTGCTGACCTCTCCGGACTTCTTCCAAACACCCGACTTCAATTTTGTATAAGTAATTGCCCATTTATGAGTCGGCATTTAATGTATGCAAAAACGGTAACATCCTTGAACCAACATAAACATATCGATTTTATATTCGGATTGCCTCATTTGCATAATTAAAGCGGTGACAGCCTTGAACTAACATCTCGATTTTATATTCAGACTAGGTCATGAGCGCGCTTCGCGCGCTTTTTTTTTAAATCAAGTCCATCAAAATAATTATAAAATGGAAAATATTTATTAGGTGTTGTACAAAAAACAGCATAATTTTTGATTTAAATGTACATTATACATTAAATGTAACAGTGAGATAAGTTGTATAGATGTTATTCTAGTGAAGAAATTTCAAATGCGATGGATGGAGTTGGTGACTAATTATTTTTGTATGGTATATCATAATGATTTTAAATCGATCACATTTCTTGAATGTACGGTGTGCGTATGTCTACTTATCTCATTCTGTTTTATGGAACTCGTAGGTGTAGGTATACATTATTCGAAGTGGTTTATTTAAAACAGAATAATCATAACCATAATCAAGGTGTTATTATAAACCGAGTTAGTAACTATTTATGTGCTGTGGTATAATACGAGATATCGAGTCTTAATTTTTTTTTTACATTTTCATGAAGTTCCTTTTTTTTTATTAGGCCAGTTATTGAAGTCTACTCGATCAACATTTTACTGCAAACAATCGAAAAAAAAAATTTTTTAAAAGATTTTAAATTCAATTGCTCAATTATTCAACTTCATTTTTTGTTTGTACCTACGTGGTAGACATAAATTTTAAATGTGATCAAAGTAGTTGGTGAATTATTACTTTTGCGGTACATCGTAATGACTTTAAATCGATCTTATTTTTTGAATATACGGTGTGCATATGTCCAGTGCAACTTATTCTATTTTATGGAACTCGTAAGAATCCAAAGTTTAAAGAGTGCTAAGTCTTCATGTCGTTCTTCGTTATTTTCAATCATTTATGTTTATCGTGTTCAGGTTTTTGTCTTGTGATCTTCAAATATCTTGTAAATAAGTTGTAAAGATCTTCTGAAATCACCTATGACTGCGAAATTTCAAAATTAAATTATCAAAAAAACAATTCTTTAAAAACATGGTTTTTGACAACACTATTGCCTCTTTGTTTCCCTGAATAAAGTTTGAATGAGTCCCACGAACGAACTCTGAAAAGCGCCACATAAAGTTGTCCGTGACTAATACATCCTTTCTGGAGATCAATTACTATCCTATCAAATGTTTGTCCTTGAGATTTGTTAATCGTAACTCATTGCAAAGGCTAATTTTATTTTAAAATTGTCTTTGTTTGAACGTAAAGGGGTAGACGTTTTCGCAGTAGAGTGTTATTCGATTTATGAACACTATTTCTCCCTGTTTATCTACAGTCAATATCTCACAGCGTAACAGATTATCCCCAAGTTCCAGAACTAAAGGCCTTGTACCATTGCAAAGGCCTGCACTGATGCTTAGATTTCTAATAAGCATACAATAGAATTCGTTTTCAATCGTATATCATGGAGCGGGAATTCGGCGGATTAAGCGAATTTAAATATTTTGGAAGAATAGCATCATTTAGATCACTATTATCACAGTTCTTGACACTATCTATACTGGTGTAGAGTTTTTCGGTCTTGACGTCCAACAGTTCGACAACTTATTCGTTTATTTCTTCGACATCAACATTTCTTGCAGAAAGTATTGCAGATTTGGTCAAGTCCCTGAATCTTCCTTCTTTTAGTATTGTTCGTCGACTTTTCGTATGAGGAGCGAGGGGGTGAAGCGAAAACCAGGGGTGACCTTAGGTGACCATTGGCGTTCAAATGTAGGGTGCCACCAGCTCACATTCCTTTCGAGTATTAGATTAAAATCGACGGACTTTACTTCTCATAGATGTTTTCAACAATATCCGAATTATCAATACATTTCTCCGACAATTTTAGATTGTCGTTAGAATCATTTAGTGTTCATTATCGCATAAAAATGGCTCAATTTCAGCAATAAGTGCTTAATATTGGCCTTTAAGGCGGCAACCGTTCGAGATTTGTCAACATAGACTTTGGATTTTAGAATGCCCAGAGAAAAAAATCCAGTGACGTTAGGTCGGCCAATTGTGGATTCTGAAGGACGATCGTTGACATCATAAATTGCACGGAGTGCACGAAACGTTTTCCGAATAGAACATTGGTTTTGATAATGATAATAATTTTTAACAATTCCGACGCGTTGCTCAATCGTGTAGCGCTCCATAATAAAATGCAGAGACTAATTGAATACGGCTGCCAAAGATAGCACCTGTGTGACTATCGAGTTTTTCATGGGCTATTGTCAAACATCGAGCGTTACTATTGGAAAACCCTATACATACCTAGATTCTTCTATTGGACCTAGAAAAAATATTAAACCACTTCCTTGCTTTGAAAAACAACCATCTACAGAGCAATATCTAATAGCACAGCTAATAGGCATATTGTCAGAGAATTGTCACATAAGTAACAAATTCACAGTCCTTCACAAAGATGCAACCGAGGAGAACATTGAAAATGCCGAAGCAAACTTCAACGCTAATGCTTGTGATTATTGTGAGCTTTGAGATCCGCTAAAATTCAACCCTTTCCAGATTTTCCAGAATTTTTCCGACCCAATCCAGAAATTTCCATGCGTTTTCCAGACGTTTCCAGAAATTTCCAGACTTTATCCAGATTTTTCCAGACTTAGCTAGACTTTATGCAGACTTGTCAAAATTTCTCCAGACCTTATCAAGCCTTTTCCAGAGGTTTCCAGACATTTCCAGACTTTCCCAGACTTTATCCAGACTTTTCTAGACTTGGCTGGATTTTTCCAGACTTTATCCGGACTTGTCTAGATTTCTCCAGACCTAATAGAGCCTTTTCCAGACGTTTCCAGAAATTTTCTGGCTTTTCCAGACTGTATCCAAACTTATCCAGACTTTTCCAGATTTAGCTAGACTTTATCCAGACTTGTCTAGATTTCTCCAGACCTTATCCAGCCCTTTTCTGACCTCTCCGGACTTCTCCCAAACACTTTCCCGACTTCAAATACACTTTTCCAGACTTTATCCAGACTTGTCTGAATTTCTCCAGACCTTATCAAGCCTTTTCCAGACGATACCAGAAATTTCCAGGCTTTTCCAGACTTTATCCAGACTTTTCTAGACTTGGCTAGATTTTTCCAGACTTTATCCAGACTTGTCTAGATTTCTCCAGACCTAATAGAGCCTTTTCCAGACGTTTCCAGAAATTTTCTGGCTCTTTTCCAGACTTTATCCAAACTTGTCTGAATGTCTCTAGACCTTATTAAGCCTTTTCCAGACGTTTCCAGAAATTTCCAGGCTTTTCCAGACTTTATCCAGATTTTTCTAGGCTTAGCTAGATTTTTCCAGACTTTATCCAGACTTGTCTAGATTTCTTCAGACCTAATAGAGCCTTTTCCAGACGTTTCTAGAAATTTTCTGGCTCTTTCCCAGACTTTATCCAAACTTATCCAGACTTTTCCAGACTTAGCAAGACTTTATCCAGACTTTATCCAGACTTATCTAGATTTCTCCAGACCTTATCCAGCCCTTTGACCTCTCCGGACTTCTCCCAAACACTTTCCCGACTTCAAATACACTTTTCCAGAACTTATCCAGACTTGTCTGAATTTCTCCAGACCTTATCCAGCCTTTTTCCGACGTTTCCAGAAATTTCCAGGCTTTTCCAGACTTTATCCAGACTTGGGTAGATTTTTCCAGACTTTATCCAGACTTGTCTAGATTTCTCCAGACCTAATAGAGCCTTTTCCAGACGTTTCCAGAAATTTTCTGGCTTTTCCAGACTTTATCCAAACTTATCCAAACTTTTCCAGACTTAGCTAAACTTTATCCAGCCTTATCCAGACTTTATGCAGACTTGTCTAGATTTCTCCCGACCTTATCCAGCCCTTTCCTGACCTCTCCGGACTTCTTCCAAACACTTACCCTACTTCAATTATGTATAAGTAATTGCCTATCTATGAGTCGGCACTTAATGTATGCAAAAGCGGTAACAACCTTGAACTAACATAAACATATCGATTTTATATTCCGATTGCCTTATTTGCATAATTAAAGCGGTGACAACCTTGAACTAACATCTCGATTTTATAGTCAGATTCAGAGTATAAATCTTCTGTGCTTATTATGCTGTGGTGTAGTATTTTTAACTTAGAGAAAGTTATAGAATTTTCTATGTCTTGTAAAGTAGAATCAATGATTTCGTAAACATTTATAATATGATTTAAGACAACTTTAATGTAAGCTGAATTTTCTCTATAAACAGATTTCTGCACTATTAAAGCAATTTGATTTAATTTGGATTCCAACAATTTTTCGTTATGGTTAATATGCTGGATAGTGGCGTTAAATTTTCCAATGATACTTAAGGATATCGAATTTTGCTTAACAATACTCGAGACCAACTTCTGTTGATTATTTTGTAAATCAAAAATAAGTTTTTCGTATTTTTCGCCATCGGCGGAATCTAGATTTCCTGTTATAGATTTGAATATCGATCCTAGCCCATTTATCAGACCTCTTTTAATTTTTGTTTCAACCCTATTTTTTATAAGGGTTAATATTTTAATGTAATTTGAAGCATCTTCGTAATATTGAGAACTATTGCGTATTAATTGGCTTAAATTTGAAGATTTTAGATGAAGTTTATTGATTTCTAAAATTATTGGATTTAAATCGTAAAAATGAATTAATGTGTGAGAATATTGTTGCAATTTTGCTCGTCCTAATTTAAATGGAATTACTCCAGGGTTGTCCGTAATTTCTCTCACGATTATTTTTTAATCGAATCCGAGTGTTAATTGGAGAACTCTGAAAAAGGAGGCACTAATTAGCAAAACTGTATCTATTCTTTAGAGGACGTTTTAAATTACTAAGGTGTATTTTTTTCTGGGATTCAGTTTTCGCAGTCTTGCGTTTTCTATTCACCGAAAGCAACTTGCTAAATAGGTCGAGAGAATTTATCTGCGTGTTTTTGCCTAATATGTTTTTTGGCATAAACATATTTATCCGGTTCAAATATTTCGGGGTCTTCCCGGGTTTCGTTAATTTTATTAATAACATTTTCTTTCGAATTGACAAGCCTTTCATTAATTTGGGAATACAAGATTTTCGTTTTATCTTTATGGTCGCTGATATAATCGCTTAGTAAAATTTGTTCAATATTAATATCAAAAGGATTGTCTTCAGTAATATGTCCATTAATTATGTCAGTTGGTTTAAGTTTTGTTGTAGAATGTATGGAATTGTTATAAGCTAGAATGGCATAAATCATTTTCTGGCTGATTGGAGTATTGCCAAAGTTTTGATTATTTAGTAGTCGAATGTGTTCAGCAAGAGTCGAGTGTAGCCGTTCTACAACTCCATTGGACTGGGGGTGATGCGGAAAGCAAAAATGAATTTGGATTTTGTGTAATTGCAGAAGTTCAGTGACCACAGAATTTTTAAATTCGGTCCCGTTGTCAACAATAATTTGCTTAGGGATTTTGTGGTGCGAAAAATAAATTAGGAGATTATCGACTATGTCTGTTGCTGATAAGGATTTCAGGTCGTACGCCTGAGCCTCGGCCTGAGCGTATTTTGAGAAACTGTCAATAATAGTCAAGAATTTTGTGTGTTTTAATGTATACAGTGTGTTTCAAAAGTCTAGGAACGGTCCAATATTTCCAGAGTGGCTTGAAATAGAATTACGAAATTTTCTGCATATGGGTAATTAATGATGCCCGATTCAATGATAATATCGACAATGTTGCCAAGTTTACCAGTTTTCAGATAATGTAGATAACTTCGTTTTTTTAAATGGGAATACCACTTTATTTTCAGTACAATAAATTCGGCGCTCTATTGTTATTAAAACCTCTTGATATCATGTTCCTATTTCACACGGTTTCTGAAATATTGCAACACAGCCTTTTTGTTCAAAAGTCTGGGAACGCTCAAATATTTCCAGAGCGGCTTGGAATAAAACTACGAAATTTTCTGCATATGGATAATTAATGATGCCCGATTCAATGATGACATCGATAATGTTGCCAAGTTCACCGGTTTTCAAATAATGTAGAAAAAATCGTTTTTTTAAATAGAAATATTACTTCATTTTCATTGCAATAAATTCGGCGCTTTATTGTTATTGAAACCTATCGATATCATATCCCTATTTCACACGCTTTCTTAAATATGGTAATTGACCTTTTCAATTTAGAAGCCTCTCTCTCTGGCGTCAGACTGTCAGATGCCAAAAGAGTATGAAAAGTATGAAAACAATGATTGACAGCTATTGACAATGGTTTGTTGATAAGAGTTTTATACGTGTGAGACTGGAAACTATTATTTCCTCGGTTTTTTCAAAGTTTCTTCCTAACAATGGTGATTGTGTGTAGTGTGCCTTTTCGTGAAAATAATTCCTATTTACCGGCGGACGTGTCTTTCCATAAGTTTTCATCAAATCCTACATTTGTCAAAATTTGGATACACAAAATCAGAACTGATACTCGCAAAAGTAAGGGAAATCCACGATCCATCAAGTATACAAAGATATCCACGTTCAAGTTTAGTTTGCGGAAGCTGTTTGCTTCCCACATTTTCTTTACAATTTCAAATTTCACCATTCTATGTCGGTCATTGTCATTCTCCATTCACTGAACAAAGATACCTAACTCATCGGTGGAGTCACCGATTAGAATAAAAACCAGGGGATTGCTAAACACCCTATACACTTGACATTGACGAGCAAGCAAATGTTGGCGGGAATCTGAATGTTTTCATACTTTATCGTCCATCTCTTTTAATTGAAAACGTCAATAGAGCGGCTTGAAATAAAATTACGAAATTTTCTGCAGAGGGGTAATTAATGATGCACGATTCAATGATGATATGGACAATGATGATTACCGGTTTTCAGATAATGTAGGTAATTTCGTATTTCTTTTTTTTTTTAATAGGGATACCACTTTATTTTCATTGCAATAAATTCGGCGATTTATTGTTATTAAAACATCTTGATATCATGTCCCTATTTTACACGGTTTCTGGAATATTGCAACACAGCCTTTTTGTTCAAAAGTCTAGGAACGGTCAAATGTTTAAAACGACTGAAAGTAGGATTATATTTTCTGGGGGTCAATTCGAGATTTGAGAAAATATTACCCCAGGAAAATATTTTATCTATTTCTTTTAATAATACCGGCAAAAATGACACTAAAAAACTGGTTGTCGAGTATAAATTGATATTTTATACAGGGTGTATCAGGTTTGACTACAAAAGTTTGAACAAAAAAGGTTTTTATAATATGACGTGAAAACTCAATCATTTTTAATAAAAAGATCTTTAAAGTTATGACAACTTTTGACAAATATTAGGAAGATAAAGAAAATTTTAATCATTATGAGATCAAAAAAAAATTAACTTCATCACTTTAAGTCAACAACAATAATTAAAAATTGACAAAACATGACACCTTCACTCGTAATTCGGCATCTAAGCATTTGGCAACATAGCATAAAAATTATAGGTGGTTGAAAATAAAATGTTCTCAAACGTC